TCCCGATCCAAGCAGCGTACTTTGGCGAGGACCACACGTCGACGACCCTCACCATGTCGTTTCTTGCGGGGGCGTTCATGTTTCTGGGCGAGCTCCAGCGGGCGCTGCCGCTGGCCCAGCACCTCGTTGCCACCAGCGAACGGACCCGCGGCCCGGACAACAGCGGCACGATGGTCGACAAGATGAACCTCGCGATGGTGACGCTCATGGCCGGGCATCTGCACGAGGCCACGGCGCAACTCACTGCGCTCGAAGCGGCGCTTCAGAGCCGCCCCGACCTCTCGCACCATCACCGTGAAGGTACATTGTACATGCATGCGCGTCTTGCCTTTCTGATAGTACTCATATGAAGGGGTTTTGGGTAGTTTTAAAGCACTTGGCCGTCGCCCATTGGGCCAACGCCGAGTATGACGTGGCCGCGGCATGCTACCGCCGCATTTTTGAGGCGACGCCCGATAAGGAGAGCGCGTGGCTGCTGGTGGGCTTTCTACTCGACGCTCCGACGACAACGGCGCAGCGAGACGAGAGTTTGCAGCGCGTCCGACAGTACATGATGACGAGCCACGATGACGCGCCCGAGTCGTGGCCCATGAGCTGCACGGTGTGCTGCGAGCCGGTGCACGGCCGCCTCGTCAAGTGCGACACGTGTCCGAAAGCCCTGTTTGTGTTTTGCGCGTCGTGCCTCGAGCGCCAGCCCCGCCGCGCTCTAAAGTTCTGCGCCCACGACCAAACCGACACGGCGTATTCGACGATGACGCCGCCGCGTCGCTTCTTTTTCGAAGCGGACCTTGTCTCATTGGAGGCTTCTTTTGAGGACGTCGACGGCATCTTTCGTGCGTACGAGACGTACTGCGACGCGCACAGCGTGCCACGTCATGAGCGGCTGCCGCGGTCGTCGGTGCCCATGTTGAGCCGTGCGTGGCACCCGATGTTGTGAGGTGCCTCGGATGTATATTCCGATGAATAGAACCAAGTCTTCTTCTTTCAAGAAATTTGTTTAATCATTTGTGTCCTGCACAAACCTCGCTCGCCGAGGCTTGGTAGCGCTACTAGTAGTTTGGGACTCGGCAGTGTCTCTAGGCAACGATGACGGCATTGCGAGGCGGTCTCCAAAGAAGGCAGCACCTGCAAAGACACACTGCGAAGCTAAGAAGCGAATCATCTCCGTGGCGAGACGATGAACTCGTGCTGCTCGTTGAAGAAAAGGCATCGCGCCGCAGTGGCGTATCTCTTATATCAGCAACATGACGACCGGATAGCAATGTGTGGACTAGACACTCGGCGTGGTCGCTTGCTCGATGCGTCGCAGTAGGATGCGCAGCTTCTCTTGGTCGTCCGGAAGCTCGTCGTCACACTCATCACAGATCGTGGTTGCCATGCTGGGGTGTGTGTCGCAGCAGACGCAGACCAGACCGTCGTCGATCTCGAATCCGTTCTTCTTGGCAACTGAGAGACGCTTTAAAAGGACCGTGAGCTTGGACGCAACAGAGGCTAAGGGTCCCGCGCAGGCCTTGCAGTGCTACTCAAACAGGGAGTTGGACCACGACGAGGGCGTCTATGAGAGGCGTGAGAGACCTTTGAACCATGTAGTTGAACCCACCGAGACTGTCTGCGCCTGGTGTCGTATGCTATTGCGCAGAAGTGCGAGCCGCGAGGCTGCCGCACTCGAGAGCCAATGTCGATGGTCGATCGCAACGCGCCAACTTGGCCGCGTCGCTGGCCTGGACGGTGACGTTACCGCCACGCTGGACCTGTGCCTGATAGTGGAGCTGCAGCGACACACGTTGGTCCTCGGCAACTGGCGCACGGCCAGCACCAATACTATGCCTGATTGCCACACGCATTTCCAGCTTGGCGCGGGACCTGTGAGTCTTTTGCATGTAGTAAGAATGGTTTGTTCCTGGTACAAGGTTCTGCCCTCTTGTGTGCTTCAAGACTGCACACTGGTAGGGCGACGTCGAATTGCCCATGATGCTCATCCTGGAGACTGGAGTTTCGACAGGCCATCGAGATGCAGCGGATTGAGACGAGACGATCGCAGTCTCCCAAGCTACACATGTGCGTACCGGTAGGTCAAGGTCGCAGGCGATGCATAAAGCGACGATACACCAAACGCAGTCGCTGGCACTCGTTCCTCCTGCTGCCACGTATTGCGTACTTGCCTACAGACGCACAGCCAGCAAGTTCCATGCGGCGAAGCATAGCTGGCATCTGCGCCAACTGCGCCTTTCCAAGACGTGGCGCAACGCCAGACCTTGGCGCTGGTCGACGCAGTCGCTTCCAGAGATCACATCCGTTGCATCATGCTGGCGGTGCTGGAGAAGGATACCAAAAGGCGACTGCAGCGCCGTCCTCGTGGCTGCTACGACCGCGCTGCCGATGGGCTCGGCCGCTTGCTCGTTTTTTGGCACCTCTCGCGAAAATGGCGTCCGGATACCAGTGGATTCGGCATGTGCCGATATTAGGGATCGAGAGACGGCATCTATCCGGATACACGTCCGGTTGTTGCCTTCATTTTGTCGTCGTTTTGGCCAATCCAAAGCGGCGAATCATTTTTCCATTTGGGCCACGACGGCCGCGCCTGGATGAAGGTCGACCGGCGGAAGGAATCCAAGGCGCATGGCTGCGACGCACGGCGCCC